AGAGATGTGTATTTTTGTGTTGTGTGTGTGTGTGTGTGTGTGTGTGTGTGTGTGTGTGTGTGTGTGTGTGTGTGTACACCTACACATAAATACATATATACACATACAGTGTGCTGTATATATATTATATATATATATATGGATGTCCCAGAATGGCATTTGTAAGTATTAACTGCATTTTGAACCATTAAAATTGTTTCGTGGTGGTTGAAATTCTGTTTCTCAGCATTGTAAACTGCATTAGAACCAGCCTATTGAATCAATAGGCTGTTTCTCAGCATTGTAAACTGCATTAGAAGCAGCCTATTGAATCAGTGGGAATTTGGTGAGTCAAATCCTCCATTAAGTTTCACTGGATCAAATGGGCATATTCTAGTTACAGCTTACTATACTAAAGTAAATTCCAAGTAGAGTAGGCCCATTAGAGACAATGTGTAGCCTGCATAAATCACCCAGAGAGTTCTTGAAGCAGTATATAAGCAGCAAACTTTGCTTTAATGGACCTACTCTGGTGCAACTCACTATACTAAGCAACAGATTTTAGCCTATACAGTGGTGCCTTGCAAGATGATTGCCTCGCGGGACGATTAATCTGCAAGATGATTGGTTTTTGTGATTGCCATGGCGCTTCTCAAGACGATGTTTTCTATGGACGATTTTGCAAGACGACGATTTTTCCCCATTGGAACGCATTAAATAGATTTCATGCATTCCAATGGGGAACCGCGTTTCGCAGAATGATGTTTTCACAAGACGATGTTTTTCACGGAACGAATTAACATCGTCTCGCGAGGCACCACTGTACTATGAAAGGCAGCAAAACTTAACAAGAAGCATGTGCTCTTAGTATGAATTCTAGATGGAGAATGTAAGGAAGATGACGTGTTACAACAAAAGCAACAACAGCACAACTATACTCCCAATCAACAGCACTAAATATTTTCTCTTTCTGATAAACAGGTATAATAATAACAACAACAACTTTGAAACATTTATCAAAAGTAATAGATAAGATAGATAAATAAATAAATAAAATACATAGCTTTGAAAAATAAGATAACACAGTGAAGTGAAATTTTTGTGTGTACTTATAATAAGGAAAACTCTACCTGTTCTTTGAACAGTTTGTTCTGGTGTTCCAACAGGAGTCTGGCCTGAAGATGCTACATGAAAAGGGATTAGAAATTACTAATGCATTTTGTTATCTTTCAAGCAAAAACATACATTTAGCTCTAAGATCAGTTAAGAATAATAAACACTACCAAGCCATTTTATCAGCAAATGCCAGGCAAAATACATTGTTCTGTGTTAGGCCACAAGGAAAACATGTCCAAATATGGAAAATCCTGTGCTGAACAGAAAACTAATTTGAGTGGTGCCTCACTAACAGCCTCAACCTGTGTCATAGACTGGAGAATAGCCTTTAAAGACAGGAAACTATATTAGATCTTCTTAGCCAGTTATAGAGGGATGCATTTATGTGGTGTGTGTGTGTGTGTGTGTGTGTGTGTGTGTGTGTGTGTGTGTGTGTGTGTGTGCACACACATACATATAAATACATATATACACAT